GTGTGTGTGTGTGTGTCCTCTGGTGTGTGTGTGGCGGGAAAAAATTCCCCGAGGGCGTGTGAAACCACCCGAAATATCTCCGAAACCCGAGTGTTTTTTTGAAATAGGAAAAAATCATCGGTGGGAAATCACGAGAGGAATCGATTGCAGCACTTTATTTTTGAATCGTACGGTTGGATTGTCCGCAAGAAACTAAGCAAAATACCCTCCAATATCCGTTTTTTTGCCCATAACTCCGTTATTTTTTTGTCAAATTGGAAATCGGAAAAAAATCATCTGTGGCAAATCACGAGAGCTGTCCAAATCCGGTCTCAGATTTTGTGTCTGCAAAAAACACCGCCCTCCAGAAAGTAAGCAAGATTTCTTGAATATCTGAACATATCGAGCGAAGGACGAAAAAAAAAAAAGAACTCCGTACGAAGATGCGCCTTAAAACGTCGATTTACGCGGTATTTTCAGATTTCGGAATAAGTACCCCCACCCCGAGAAAAGTGCACCTTTGTGCAGGGGAAAATATTGTGAATATTTGCTCGAACGGACCATATGACTCCCGAGGCGACGGCAACACCTTCCGGTGATCGACAAGGCCTCCCTAAATTCGACCTTGGCCTCTATTTCTCTCTCCCTCTCCCCCTCTCTCCCTCTCTCCCTCTCTCCCTCTCTCCCTCTACCGGCATTACAGTGCCGGCCCGTTCAACAAAAAATGTTCGGAAGAAACTAAGGGTCAGATATTGAACAAACTCAAGAAAATGGACCTAAGAAATTGAGCATAGCGGCCGGCACTACACAGTTCCTACACAGAAGCCGCTGCTCAGTTGTGGAGACAAAACGCTCAAGGTAGGTGCTTCTTGTCTAGCCTTCTTTTTCGGGGTACCCTCTCTCCCTCCACTTACTGACACTAGCCGCCGCCGTCGGGCGTGCCGATATTTGACAAGCCATCAGAAGAAAACACACGCTTCTCAGGGTGCATGGTTTTCATCGGGCGTGTAAATAGGGAAATTCACCCAATCGACGGAAACACGCGTTGCTCTCTCGTCGATACCTGTTGCTAAAACTCCTAGCACCATGTTTGTTGTGGACGTCACCCGTCATCGATATATATATACTATCGCCACATTCGGAACGACCGTCACATCATCACTACAAAATTGAAATTCGAACACCGTTGTAACCCCCCCCCGACAAAAAAAAAACGGTGATACAGGTATAACTTGGGAACGAACTGCATGGGTGCTGGCGTGAGGCTAGGCGGGTGGAAGGTCAACGGTCACCAGTACGGTGTGGGCAACAGCGTGAGTGGTCTTCGTGCTCCCGCTGTATATCTGTTGACGGCGGTGAAGCTGAAGGTATTCAGAGAACCTATAGCGTCCAGACTCAGGGCTACGACAGTACTCTCAATTGATTCCCTTCTCTATTTTCTCTCGGCGGTTGTGCGGGTTACGTTTGACGGTACGTGTCGCAAGGCAGAAACTCTTCGTGGGTTAGACACGGCTGCTGCTTCGTGTGATTGAAAGCCATGCGTTGTGCCGTCGTTGTTGCTGTCGCCATCATCGTCGCCGTTGTTGTCGGTGTCGAGGCTGCTGCTCTGGTCGTTGGTTCTGCTATCGATGGTGGTAGGGTGGTCGTTGTGGGTGTTTGATCATGCATGTACGCGTACACATATCGTCCACACAGCGAGAATTACGTGCGACCCATCATCAAACGCCAATAAAACTATCTCAATTGTCGTGTGTGGTGGTGATGCTGTTGGTGCTTGATCATAGACGCATGCCATTCAGACTCCGGGTACTGGCACCAATACCACCTCTCTCTCATACAGCAAGCAACCCACAACGTCTGACGTGCATCTTGCCCTTACCCCGGTGGGGTCCCTCTGCCCCTGGCCACAAAAAAACCTACACCTGTCGTGTGAAAGGGCACACCGCTGTTGCCAGCAACCAACGCCACAGCCACAACAAACCCCCTTTTTGGACAAAAACACCAGCTCATTTGCAGGGAGGGACCTTCAATTGTCGTTCATCCGTTTCCGTGTGGCCTTCAACCCCCGCCGACAGGTGTACGACAACGATTTCAAAACCGCCGGTCATGGGGCCCTCAAGGTGCTCGTGGGCGAGCAGGGCAACACTTGCGGCAACACCTCCGAGGACGGCTCTTGCAAGTTGGCCGGGTGTTGTTGTTGTTGTTGTTGTTGTTGTTGTTGTTGTTGCTGTTGTTGGGGGGTTGCTCGACCCCTGTAGCGATCAACACTGTTTTTGGCCCATCACCGTCTAACCTTTGCAACCCATCCTTTGCTTGTACCTCGTCCTGTTTCGCCTCTCACCACAACAACAAACGGCACCTCCACCACGTCCAACACCGTCGCCATCACACCTATATCACCGCAATCACCACCGCCAATACCACCAGCACCACCAACACCATCACCACTATCGTCATCAAGGCTACCACTACCGTTAACACTCCCATCCCCACCCCCGCCCCCACCACCACGACCATTGTTAACGATGTTTCAACAAACCGCCGCCGGCCTTTAAGCCTGGCCCTATCAGGTGTCAACACCTCGTGGAGCCACGCATGCGCGGCATTGCCACCACCATCAGCACTACCTCCTCCTCTCCCTCCTCCTCTAGCTCAAGCACCACAATGACCAGCAGCGGCAGCAGCGGGGGCAGGGGCAACGGAGACGGTTCCGCCTCGTCAGAGAGTGAATATGACGATGGCGTCGTCACGCCGCTGTCCGAGAGTGATGATGACGATGACGACGGTTTTAGCGTCGTCATGCCGCTGTCCGAAGACGATGACAAGGCACAAGACAGCGATGACGACGATTTCCGTGTCTCCGCTGACGACGATTCCAACGAATACAACGACGACAACGATGATATCGAGAAAGACTCCGACGATTACGGCAATGACGATGGTTTTAGCGTCGTCATGCCGCTGTCCGAAGACGATGACAAGGCACAAGACAGCGATGACGACGATTTCCGTGTCTCCGCTGACGACGATTCCAACGAATACAACGACGACAACGATGATATCGAGAAAGACTCCGACGATTACGGCAATGACGATGGTTTTAGCGTCGTCATGCCGCTGTCCGAAGACGATGACAAGGCACAAGACAGCGATGACGACGATTTCCGTGTCTCCGCTGACGACGATTCCAACGAATACAACGACGACAACGATGATATCGAGAAAGACTCCGACGATTACGGCAATGACGATGGTTTTAGCGTCGTCATGCCGCTGTCCGAAGACGATGACAAGGCACAAGACAGCGATGACGACGATTTCCGTGTCTCCGCTGACGACGATTCCAACGAATACAACGACGACAACGATGATATCGACAAAGACTCCGACGATTACGGCAATGACTACGGCGACGACGTAATTAAGCGACGACGACGTCAACGACCACTCTGACGACGACGGCAACGACTACGGCGACGACTTCGGCAGCGACGACGAGTCGACGCGGCGCGATCGCCGACGCTTGGGGGGCGGTGCTTCCCGGGCTTCGTAGGTGTGCTGGAACTCCTGGACGGTGGCGGCCACAGCGGTTGGGTCTCGCCTCTGATCGTACAGATTGCGGCGACACAACAACCTTCGTCAACGGGTAGCTCGGTAGGTCGGAGAGTGTTGAATACTGCCGTCTCAGAACTCGCTGCTTCCTGTGTGCCGTACGAATGTTGATAGAACGAGGCAACAGTTTGGACCCAGTGGATTTGCTTTGTCAAACGTGACTCGAGCCAACGTTCCGGCGCAGCCAGGAGGTTAACCTCAAATCCTGGGGCGAGTGTTTGAGCCACAATTAGGAGGAGTGGGGAGGGAGCACACGTCGATATTGGTTTTGCCATTTGTTTCGGGGGAGACAATGTCGCGTTTCTGATTTATCATTTTGTTTTGGGGGAAGGGGGTGTCTCCGTTGCCGCGGTCACAGTCACAGACTGCTCCCGTCAAGGTTTTGAAAGTGCTCTAGATGACACTTTCTCACGCTGTTTGCTTTGTTACCCCTCGGCGAACGCTGTAGATTTTTTTTTCTCTCCCTGGGTCCCCCCAATGGCGACTTGTTAGAATATATATGTAGGTGAGTTTCAGGCTCGCTCATCCCGCAATGTCCCCGTTCCAAAACACAGAAGTGTGACACACTTCTGCCATGAAATGCGAGAAACGAAAGTCCATCGATATGTTGATTCTTGTGTAATGTTGACAATATGAATGTGCGGTAGGGTCATTTTGTATGGAGTTCGCCGCGGTACCCGCGAGAGCGGTTGTGGGTGTCGTCAAGGTGCTTCGTGTGTTGAAGCGTGCTTGATGAACGATACAGGCCGAGGCTATAGGAAACGTGCCAGTACCCCTGCGCGATTCATGCAGTAGCCGTATGTGTGGGGCATGGGGTAGATATTAGGAAGGGGTCAGGAGCTGGTGGTACGAGAGTAGCGGCAGGAGAAGAGGGGAGGGGGATTGTCCGCAGTGTTGGATGTTGCTTTCGTAGACTCGTTCACAGTATCTTGTATTCCGCACCAGTGGTACTAGACAATAGCAACTCATCGTTCTACCTGCTCATCAAAGTTTTGTTGACTGTTGGTTGGCCTGAAATTTCGAGAGTTTTTCTTATCGCACTTTGTGTCGTGTACCGTGCCGAGGCGGCGAGACTTGTTTCTGTTGTTGTGAGGGAGTTTTTCTGTTGTGGTAGGTCGTTTGGGGATTGGGATTGTTCATTCTCAGTCGTTACGTACCTCGAGTCCTACTCTACTACAGTATATTGAGCCTCCCACCCGCACGCACGTAGGCTTGCAGCGTGGGTCATGTTGTCATCAATATGTGTGCCCGGTTTTCACTCGCGTGTCCTGTGGGTGTATTGGGATGAAACGGGAATTGGTCCTTCGGATGGTCACAGTTTTTTGTCGTGGGTGGCATTGCGAACACTCTGCTACTACTACAGCTTAAAGTTACGAAATCAAACCTGTAGACTACGTACACATAGCTGTAGTGAACATCATCGACTCAATCTCCCACACTACTGGCAGTATTGCTGGGACACCCATGGGGCACCCATGGGCCGCCCATGGGCACCTCAACCTATGTAAGAGCGTCGCCACTGGCTAACAACCTACAGAACTTAGCCACCCATGCCAATCTAGCACGTGTCGTGTGGGCTTGGGGGTTAGGGTTAGGGTTAGGGTTAGGGTTAGTTTTTTTTGCCGCTGCAACGCCCGTTCTAGAGCAGATAACCAATTGTTTAGGAGTACGCTGGTTCCGGTTGAAGGGCACTCATAGGCTGCCGTGGACTGCCCAGGGGCTTGCCCGTGGGCGTTCCCCATGGGCCTAACGTGGTACACATGGGCAGCCCTGTAGAAAATGTGGGAGACCCGAAGGTGTAGCCGCGCACGATCGAATATCGCTTTACGTCTTTATAGCCTATTAGGGCTCTTTCAGCTATAGCCCCATGATTTCGAGGTACCCATGAATGAAGCTGGTTGCTGTTTAAGGAAAAGCTAGCTCGCTTGCTCTTAGTCTGCTTTTCCAGCGTCGGAGGACTTGCCTATCCAGCTGTATATTGGACAGGGCTTCAATTTGTTGGAAGGATAGGCAACGTTTAGGCACAAGATCGAGATCGAAGCAATTTGTTGTCGGCCGCAACTGCTGCATGCTCGTGTTTGGTGCTTGAGGATGCCGGTCACCGACACAGCCAACCAACGGAGAGGGCACCAATCAAGCTGAGACCTGGAAAGGGTTCCTAAATGAAAGTAGCGCAAGACGTGGTTTCTCACGTCTCGGGTGCCTTCTCTGTTGGTTGGCCGTGTCGGCGACCGGCATCCTCAAGCACCAAACACGAGCATGCAGCAGGTGCTGCCGACAACAAATTGCTTCGATCTCGATCTTGTTCGGGCCTTCGGACTGAAAGTGATCAGTTCATTCATTCACATATTTTTTTCCGTTCTGCGAGGCCTGTAGAGACCGTGTCGGTCCCTTAGAGAGATGCAGGAGGCGCCGATCAAGCTTAACCTTGCTGAGGGCGTCGGAAGTAGTGCAGAACGGCTGATGGGGTGATTTTCCGACCCCCAGGCGTTCGGCTCAGAAATCTGCGTGGTTCGGAGCTTCGGAGAGAAGGTGATCATTCACATTTTTGTTTTCCGTTCTGCGAGACCTCTATCGAGACCGTAACGGTCTCGTAGAGGAATGCATTCGAACACCACAGTATCCATTTCACGATGACGTTCAACGCCACAAACTCCACCCCCCTTGCTACTACGTATGCCAAGACAGACAACGCAGCTTTGCCATTGTCGATGCACAGCGCCCTGCGATACACAATGCTCCCCCCCCACGCCACGATTTCCTGGTCCGGTGAGAACCCGGCGTGCTCCTCCCGGCTTCGTAGGGATGCGAGGTCAATGGTCTGACGACTACGGCATGCACGACTGACTATGAGTACACCCCCATCCCCCCCAAGCCACGATTTCCACTTGTACTCGAAGCCCAACCTTGTAGACCACAATGCACGGCCACTCCCGCAATCTCGTACTAGATTCCGACAAACATAAGAGACCAAACAACCAAAACTACGAAGAAAAACTCAACACCAGTTCATTGAGGGTGGCATCATACCTCGTGAATAGAGCTCGACCAAAGCATTTTTTGATACGTCTCCTTTCCGTGTTTCGCTTTGCAGTGTTGAGGGCACGGGGAACACCGGAGTGCTTTTGCCGTTGTCAAATAGTGGCTTTCTCAAAGAGTTTCATTCCCTATTTCACGCCCATCTTGCTGTCAATCGCCAATGCTGCTTGCCCCAACAATGAATCACACTACGGTGGTAGGATTCAGTCGAACGAGTTGTTGCACGATGGTCGCGTGTATCCCCCTTTCATTTTCCCGAATGCCTACTTCCAACTTGGATATTCTGGCTTCAACGACAACAAACCTCCAAACGAACTCGTGCGCTGAGGGTAGTACAGGTCGTTAGCGCTCTTTTCGGCACTCTGTTCTCTCTAGTGTGATCTAATGGAGAGAAGTTCGAGCCAACGTAGTGTACCACGTGCTAAGCAAATCGTAACGCACAGTGGCGGTCGGCCACGTCCACGCGCAGTGTCTTGATCGGTTCGAGGCGGCCGTGTGACAGCCAGAGCTTCTCCCAAATGGAGAGGCGCCAGTAGTGCAGCAGCAGTGGTGCACACGCGGGACGGGCACAAATACTCTCGCGTTTCACGTGAATCTGGGAACAGCACGAGCCAATGGTACGGGTAGTAGCGAAACGAGGACTGTGTAAGGCATGCGAGCACCAGCTGGATGACATGAAACTCAACAACATGGTATTACTTACGATTTTGAATGCGTTGTCGCGCGCTATGTACCTACCCAGGCAACCTTTTCGTGTTGTTATTATTGTCCAAACAATCCGAAGAACTCACACTGCACTCTTGTTTCGCAGATGATGTTCTACTCCCCGCTTGAAGCGTTGATCCGATGGGAGCCGTCCTAGACGGAAACAGCCAGGCAGACAATTCGGGGCGCGTGACATGTGCTTGTATTTTTGCAGAATAATATCAGTATTATTATCGAACTCTCTCTTACGTATTTAGTAACCCTAGCCATTCTTCTGACGATGCCGTGCACTAGCGATGGAAGCAGCAACGGCAGCATCTCGTTACGTGAGTCTCTCTCGCCATGTGCTGGGGCGATGGTGATCCAGTTTGCTAACTGGCCCGCCTGGTTAGAATTCATGACTTTTGAGCTTTCTCAATTCATTGCAATATCTGGGAAATGTCCAATAGGACTCAATAACTTTTGTTCCCAGGTGCTCTACACCGCTCTTTCTGCTTCAACTCGCTCACGTCGCCTCACCAACCTTTCGGCACACATGTCTATCCCCTTCGAGAATGCCCCCGACGCCTCTGTACGGAGAACAAGAATGCATGGCCTCCTTGGACAAGCTCTACTCCTGGAGACAGCCCTTCTGAACTGTTCGGCGTGTTGGACACAACTGTTCGACATGTTGCGCAAACCAGTTTCACAATATCGTAATACTTCCGACCGGCCCACAACCGGAAAACGTGCCACGCCACCGATCGTAGAAATAACTAGCAAAGCTCCTACATGAAAAATGTTTGCTACGATCGCAACGGCCTACGTCCAGACCATGCCAGCGTCCGGCATTTATATGCAGACAATGCATGTTCCAAGATTTCTCAAAATTGAATACCATCGCTTCTCATGTGCAGGTGACCGGACGCCAACCGATCGCGATACCCGTTCCTCCGTTTGCGGGAATGCTGGTAGCCCGACAGCCGTACTCACTTTCCCCACCTGTTCAACGCACGGAACCGGGTGGTGCAACGCCTCGGCAACAGGCAACACCCCGTCCACCCACCTCGACCTCCATGCTCGCGCTGCGGCGCCTGATCAGCTCCTCGGCACCCTCCTGCCGCCCTGCATCCTGAACGCATTCACCAAGGCGACGTACAGTTAAATCCACCCGCACATCCCCTCGACCCAGCTTGACCTCAATAACCGCCAGGCAGCGTCTGAACAGCTCCGCTGCCTGTTCCAGTCGCCCCGACTTCTGAACGCATTCACCAAGCTTATGCAGCGTCGCGGCCACCTGAATATCCTCTGGCCCCAGATTGACCACCCTGATCACCAGACATCGCCTGAACAGATCCTCCACCTCCCGTAGGCGCCCTGCCGCGTGCAGACATTCACCAAGTCCGTTCAGCATGCAAGCTAACTCCACATCCTCTTGACCTAGGTTGGTTTCCTTGATTTCCAGCCCGCGCTTGGACAGATTCTTTGCCTCCTTCATTCGCCCTGCCTTCTGGACGCATCTGCCCAGGGGGCACAGCGTGTATGCCACGTGCACATCGTCGCGACCAAGCGTGGTCTCCGTGATCGCCAGATAGCGCCTAAGCAGCTGGTCCGCCTGCTTTTGCCGCCCTTCCTTCTGAATGCATTCACCAAGGCGGTAGAGCGTGCGAGCCACCTGCATATCCTCTTTACCCAGCTTGGCCTCTCTTACCGCCAGACAACGTCGGAAGAGTTCCTCCGCTTTATCCAATCGCCCTGACTCCTGAACACATCTACCTAGGCGGTAGAGCGTGATGGCCACCTGTACATCCTCTAGACCCAGCCTGACCTCCGTGATCGCCAGGCAGCGCCTCATGAGCTATTCCGCCTCCTCATGCTGTCCTGCTTTCTGAACACATTCACCCAGGAGCCCCAAAGTCGCGGCCACATACACATCCCTCCGGCCGTGCGTGGCCTCCCTAATCACCAGGCAGCGCCTAAATAACTCCTCCGCCACCTGCAGTCGCCCTGCGGTATGAAGGCATTCACCAAGGCTTTGCAGCGTCGTGGCCACCTCAACATCCCCTCGACCCAGCTTTCCTTTCTGATCGCCAGGCAGCGTCTGGGCAGCTCCTCTGCCTCCTTTGGCTGGCCTGCCTTGTGAACGCACTCAACAAGGCCGTGCAGATTTCAGGCCACCTGAACATCCTCTCGGCCCACCTTGACCTCCCTGATCGCCAGGCAGCGCCTCAACAGCTCCTCCGCCTCCTGTAGGCGCCCTGCTGTCACCAAGCACTCACCAATTTGGCCCAGCATGTAGGCTACCTCCACATCCTCTTGGCCAAGCTTGGTTTTCTTGATTGCCAGGCCGCGCCGGAACAGCTCCCCCGCCTCCTGCTGTCGTCCTCCCTTCTGAACGCATTCACCTAGCCGATACAGCGTGTAGGCCACGTTCACATCGTTTCGACCAAGCGTGATCTCCCTGATCGACAGGCAGCGTCTAAACAGCTGCTCCGCCTGCCACCGAGCATTTTGAACGCATTCACCAAGGCGGTACAAAGTGTAGGCCACCTGCACATCCTCTTTTCCCAGCTTGGCCTCTCTGATCGCCAGGCAGCGCGTGAACAGATCTTCCGCCTCCTGCAATCGCCCTGCCTTCTGGACGCATTCATCAAGGCTATGTAGCGCCGCGGCTACATGCACATTCCCAAGACCCAGCTTGACCTCTCTGATCGCTGGGCCGCGCCGGAACACGTCCTCCGCCCGCTCCTGCTACCCGGACTTCTGAAAGCATTCACCTAAACGGTACAGCGTTTCGGCCACCTGCACATCCTCTCCATCCAACTTGATGTCCCTGATCGCCAGGCAGCGCGTGAACAGATCCTCCACCTGCTGCAGACGCCCTGTCTTCTGAACGCATTCACCAAGGCTATGTAGCACCACGACCACTTGTGCATCCTCGTGACCCAGCTTGACCTCTCGAATCGCTAGACAGCGCCTAAACAGCTGTTCTGCCATCTGCAGGCGCTCAGCCTTGTGAAGGCATTCACCTAGGCGGAACAGCGTCACGACCACCTGAACATCGTGTCGACCCAGGTTGGCCTCGGTGATTGCCAGGCATCGCCTGAACAGCTTCTCGGCCTTCTCTAGACGCCCTGCCTCCTGAACACACTCACCAAGTCCGTGAAGCATGTGTGCGAACTCTCTTGGCCCAGCTTGGTTGCCTTGACTGCCAGGCCGCGCTTGTACAGGTTTTCGGCTTCCTTCAGTCGTCCTGCCTTCTGAACGCAATTGCCTAGGTGGTACAGTGCATAGGCCACCTGCGCATCGTCTCGTCCCAGCGTGATCTCCCTGATCGCCAGACAGCGCCTGCACAGCTGCCCCGCCTCCTCCTGCCGCCCTGTATCCTGGACAAATAAACCAAGGCGATACAACATGTAGGCCACTTGCACATCCTCCTTCCTACCCAGGTCCGCCTCCCTGATCGCGAGGCAGCGCCTAAACAGCGCCTCCGCTTCCTCTAGTCGCCCTGACTTCTGAAAGCATCTACCTAGGCGGTAGAGCGTCACGGCCACCTGCACATCGTCTTGACCAATCTTCAACTCTCTGATCGCAAGGCAGCGCATGAACAGCTGCCCCGCCTCCTCGTGCCGTCCCGCCTTCTGAACGCATTCATCAAGGCTATGCAGCGCAGCGGCCACCTCCAAATCTTCTCGACCCAGCTTGGCCTGCCTGATCGCAAGGCAGCGCCTGAACAGCTCCTCCGCCTCCTGCGGCCGTCCTGCCTCATGAACGCATCCGCCAAGGCATTGCAGCGTCACGGCCACCTGAACATCATCTCGATTCATCTTGGCCTCTTCGATAGCCAAACAGCGCCTAAATAGCCCTTCTGCCTCCTGCAGTCTCCCTTCCTTTTGAACGCGCGCGCCACCGTCGCGTAGTGCTTGCGTTTCCGACATCACCGTCGGTACCTTGATATCGCAGCTCTTGATAGGGCAAGCTCGCTGCTTGAAAACGTTGTGAGCAAAACGGGAATGTACTGAATATATTTTCGACATATATTTCACGCGATCATCAATTTGGCACAACGATTACGACGAATAGCTCACGGGATCATTAGTTTGGGCTACCAACGCAACGTATTATATTCCGCGCGGTGGCTGGTCGACAACTCTGCTTCATCGCAGTCACCCGTTGAGACGAGTTTTTCCGTTGGTTTCTGGCGGATGACATTCCGTAGGTGTCGATAAGCTAATTTCCATATGTACTACTGTGTAGAGCGTGGTAGACGGTGCGGTGGAGATGAGGGGAATTGTCTTTCCTTTTCCTTCTATGGTGCACGCTACGCACTTCGTCCTGTTGGAGGCTAGCGTAGTAGGCAGGCAACTTCGAGTGATCTGTGGTTGAGCCATGTAGGGTAACTTCGAGGGAGTACCTCGGAAGCTATTGTGTCTGTCGCGGAGCCCTGCTCCACATACATGAGCTCACGTTTCTCACGGTCGGAGCTATCCGATAGTTTACTGAAGGTCGAGAGATAGGAACCTGCCAAGGTAAGGAAGAAGTACATAAGCTGAAGTGCCACGGAATTGGAAAATCAACATTTCCCGATGATGGGGCGAAGAAGCCGTGCCAAGCGAGGGGTAGTAATGAAAGCCGTACTGGTGAGCGGTGCTCTGTGGTTTCACGGAAGCAAGCGATTAATGTTTCCCGATGATCGGACAAAGGCAGCCGTTTACCACAGCTCCCTCGTGCCTGTACCGGATAAAATTGGGTGTGTGTCGTGCTTCTGGCGATGTTGAAGGGCGCAACGCTTTGCAAAAAATAGAAAGTTGCCTAAGCAGGTCGGTTTGTCCTGGCTGTCGTTGCTGTAGCTTTTGATGTCTTGGTGTTCACACCTTTTCAAACCCCGGCTGTTCTGTAGGGCCCCCGTTTCCCGAATCTTTCTTCGGCAAATAGATTCCGGCGCTCAGCCGCTTCCCAACAATGAAGTATGATAGAGTTGAAAGACTCACAATAGAAATTCCGCCACTCGATCCGAAGAAGTAGGATGTCTGGAAAGAAAGGTGCAAATACGATTGTCGGCTAAGAGTTAATAGGCGAAAGTTTCTACCGCTTGATTTCCAAAGATGCGCTACTGAACATAGCCATTTCGCACACACGGGCGTCCAATGCCCATCAAGTTTCGCCGGAAGACGAATGATATCACATCTAAAAGTACGCAGGAGGCAGGAATTACTTTGTCCACACAACCCACCCGTAGATTCGAAAGCCATGTACTACTGTACCATCCTTCTTTGTCGCATTTCGCCAAAACTATCATGGGGAAGCGTTGTGGATTGCAGAATTTGAAGCACAGTTGACAGCTGCAACCGGGCCTTGAAAAAACTCGTGATTTCAGCATGGTAGGTGGGTATGCGCAAGGGGCAGATTTTGGGACCGACGGGGTTGAAGGGTCAGGATTAGGAATGTTCATGGGTTTGCCGGAGTCCACAAGCAGAGAATCGTTTGTAAACTCATCTGATGTCCCATCCTCATGAAGAACAACAACAGCCAATGGCGCCCGCACTCAAGCACCTCTAGTTTCGGCCGAGGCTGGGGTTATTATTTTGCCCATCATCCTCTTGTGGGCTACAAATGGCCGCTATATAGGTTTAGTGTGGGGTTCTTAACCCAGCATACAAATGGTGCTCAAGTTCATAGCTTCTGATTTTTCGCGAGTCTCAATTTCTTAACTGCTAAGTTCTTAAGTGCGGGCGCTATCTGTATACTCTGGTTTCGGAATCATCGTCGTTTTTGACTGTTGCAATGGAGTAGCGGCGATACTATCGGCGAAAAAAACAAGTGGTTCAATTTTACCCTCTCCAACAGCTGAGGCATTGTTAGCGAAAGGGGTGTCATCGTTTTCTCTCATGCACTTGGTAAGTAAGGCGGAAGCGATGAACATGTGACCAAACGCAAAGCCTGACGACAGGAAAGCATATTCTACGATTTCACTTTCAGTTCAGGACGGTAGAACTGGATCAACTTGATGCCAATCCTCGCTGAAAAAAACGCTTTCCCTCCGAAGGGCAAGGCATTTTGACATTGGGCCTGAAAAAGAGTTGTTCGTTGTTGTTTGTTGTTGTTGTTTCTCACAGTAGCTCTATAGTCCACAAAAAATGTGGCGCACGTGGTCTCAAAACCCGGCACATACGACGTGAGTTGAGTGATTCTGGGGCAAACTTTGACGACATCACAATTTCATCCGAAATATTTGACTGTTTTTTGCAGGACGTCGTCACGTTCGGACTCAGCTGGGACGTTGCAAACGTTGCCTTCTTTGGCATCGTCTCCGAAAGGGAGGTTAAAGGTACTGTGTGGGTCGTAAGACCGCCAGGTAGGATAAGGGCACAACTATAATTCCTGTTGATGTATCGCACAGGACTAGTCTATAGTTTTGCGCGGGCGCGCAGGTGGGCTGCAATCGCGCATTCTTTTTCTGTGAACTTTTTCGCGTCCCGGGCGGAGCATCTATCATCATGTATATCGTTGTTTTCCATGGCACTGGTCGTGATGGTGTCGAAGATGTTCCGTTGTTCTCGAGTTGGTTGTAATGTCAGTTAATGAGGCCAAGCTGATTCATTTGTGGACCGGCCGTGTTTGTTGAGCATGATGAGGTCAATGTGCTATAGAGAAGAGGTTTGGCGAGGCATTAATGAATGGCGGCGTAGATTGATAGAAGGACAGGGTGGAGGCTACTCTGGCAGTGGGAGCTAGCTGTGAGTTGTGATGTAGGGGAGATGAACAGGTAGTAGACGTTAGTTCACGCGGCAGTACAGCCATGCCAGAACTCGAGGAGGTGGCACGGGCCATGACTCCCTCCCTGCCGAAATGCTCAAGATCAATGACGACGAACCCTTCGTCCTGGGACACCTCCATACCATCCTCGTCAAGGTGTGGAACGGAGGAGATATTTCGCGAGAGTGGAAGGATGCAACCATCAAGGTGCTGTACAAGAAACGTGACCGGTCCAACTGTAACAACTACAGGGGGATTTCGCTACTATCTCACGTAGGCAAGGTCCCCATCAAGATCATCACCAAGCGTCTAAGCGCCTTCTGCGAAGCCAACAACATCCTCCCGGAGAAACAGTGCGGATTTCGACCCGGGCGATCCACCGTCGACATGCTGTTCGTCGTGCGCCGCCTCCAGGAGCTGGGGCGGAGAAAGAAAATACCGCTCTAGACTAATTGTGCTTCGTCGACTTGAACAAGGCCAATGATTCGGTGGACCGAGAGATGCTATGGAAGGTGCTGGCCAGGGCCGGGATTCCAGCGAAGCTGATCGAAGTCATTCGCCAATTCCACGATGGAATGCGGGCCCGGGTGCGCATGGACGACGGAGAACTACCGGACTGGTTCTTTGTGACACAGGGCGTGCGACAAGGATGTGTGCTATCCCCACTGCTGTTCAACATCTTCTTCGCCGAGGTCCTCGAGGTCGTTGTTATCCGATTCAGCGAGGATGATGTTGTTCTGCGGAGCCTGGTGTGCTTGGAGGAGGGGAAGGCGGAAGCGGGGGGGGGG